GTCGTACGCCAACAAGGTTAGGGCGTATAGGGTAGGAGGAGCGAGGAATGAGGAAGGGGGTGGGACCAAACTGGACCTGGATAAGGAACTGGGTAGGGAAGGACGTGGGGAGGTAGCTGAGCAGCAGCCACCAGCGACGGATGGAGGGGGAGAAGGGGAGAGGCATGCAAAAAGAGCAGAATCAACATCGAGCGAGCAGGAAGAGGGGCTGGCGGGGGAGGGGAGCGACGGCATGGGCAGCATCTCCGAGACGACCGTGGAAGACTGGGCGGAGGCGGTGGAGGAGGATGAAGGAAAAGGGGAACAACAGCAGGAGGAAGGCGGTAGCGAGACATGGGAGGGACCAATCGGAAGGAAAAGGAGGATACGGAGAGCCCCAAAAAGAGGCGCCCCTTTAGGCAGCACGGAATCCTCGGACTCCTCGCTGGACACAGAGGCCTCGAGGGAGGGGATGGAGGAAAGGGTGGAGAGCCCGCGCAGGGGGAAACCCTTGAGAACAAGGGGCAAAATGAAATTGCGGGAACTGGCGAATGAAGATGGTTACGGAGGGCGAGCGGAGAAGGCCACTTCGGACTGAGACACATCCTAACATGGAACTTTCTGTGGCGTCCGTAAATGTGAGGAGCTTGAAGGGAAAGGGGAGGAGAGGAGCAATAATACAATTGCTACAGGCTACCAAGTGGGAGGTGGTCTTCCTCCAGGAATGCCACCTACCATACACCCTGGGCCGGGAGGAGCTGTTGGAAAGCTGGGATGGCTACTACTTTTGGTCCGGGAGTAATGAAAATCGATGCACGGGGGTAGTTACCCTCCTAGGCAGGAGGGGTATACAGATAGTCGGGTCCCAAGAGGTGGTCCCGGGCCGCCTCCATTATGTGGACGTGTCTTATGGAGAGGCAAACCTGAGATTAATAAATGTGTACGCCCCCACGACGTGCACAGAAAGAGTGGACCTATGGAATAATGTAGCGACCCTGCTCGTGACGAGAAGGCAAGTCATAATGGGGGGTGATTTTAACTGCCCGTTGTGCCTGGCAGACCTATTATCGGTGGCTGGGAGGAGGAGGCTCGACCCTTCCTCTAGGAAGTTGAAGGAGATGATAGAGGATTTTAAAATGACTGACACCTTCAGAAAGGTACACCCGGTGAGACCGGGATACACGTGGTCGGATAAGGGCGGTAGAACGCAATCACGAATAGATTTCATCTTTGTGTCTGCCAATGTGAAGGTGGATGGAGCTGACCTGGAACCCTTCCCCTTGTCAGATCACAATTTGGTGAAGGCAAAGCTCGGTATTCCAGGTGGCCTGAAGATGGGGAAGGGAACCTGGAAAATGAATGTAAGCCTGTTGGAAGACAGAAGGGTCGTGGAAGACTTTGTAAGGAAGTACGAAGACTGGACGACCCTGCAGGAATGCTTTGCCACGAGGGTGGAGTGGTGGAGCATGGTGAAGGGCCGGATAAAGGCCCTCTTCCAGACACATAGTAGAAGGAGGAGTGTAAACAGGGAACTGCAGCTGTGGAACGCTAGAATCGAGAAGAAGCACAGGTTACTTGAGCTGGGATTCCCGGTGGGTGAGGATATACGGAGATTGAAGGGAAGGTTATCCTCGGTATTGGAGAAAAGAGTCAAACAAATGGCATACAGGGCAAGAGTCAGGGCAACGGAACAGGGAGAGAAATGTACGAGTTTCTTCTTTAAGAAATGCAAGGCAGGAGACAACACACTTAGGGAATTGGTGAGTCCGGTCAGAGGCAGGCAGGCAACGACAGAGGGTATGATAGAGATAGCGGAGGAGTACTATGGGGAGTTGTATGGGAGGAAGGGAACGGATAGGGGAATAAGGGAGGCACTACTAGGGGAGCTAAGACATGAGGTTAAGAACCCAGAGGTACTGGGAGGGAGGATCCAGATGGAGGAAGTGGAGGAGGCAGTGAGGAGGCAGAATAAGAATAGGACGCCAGGACTGGATGGAATTCCAGCAGAATTCTATATTACATTCTGGGATTTAATGAAAGGGGACATGCTGCAGATGTATAGGGAAATGCTGGAGGGTGGACTGGTGCCAGAAGAAATGTGTGAGGGGCTCATCATACTGATGTATAAGAAGGGGGACCGAAGAGAGTTGGGAAACTGGCGTCCAGTTACGCTCCTGAACTCGGACTACAAGATTATGGCAAAAATAGCTGCGACGCGCCTGGGGAAGGTGGTGGAGGGAGTAGTCGAACCCGACCAGACGTGTGCGGTGCCAGGAAGAAGGATTTCGGACTCCCTGATTTTATTAAGGGAGGCAATAGAGGTAGAAGGAGAGAGGGGATGCCCCCTAGGGCTTCTTAGCCTGGATCTTGAGAAGGCTTTCGACTGCCTCTCGCACGAGTATATGTTCGCAGTGTTGGAAAAAATAGGAGTGAGGGGACCCTTGGTCGATTGGGTGAGGCGTCTTTACCAAGGGCTCAAGACCAGACTACTGATAAATGGGGAGCTCTCAGGGACAATTCCAGTAGAGTCAGGGGTGAGACAGGGGTGCCCGATGTCTGCGGTTCTATTTGTAATGTGTATGGAACCCCTTGCACAGGCAATAAGAAACAATGAGGAGATTAAGGGAGTGACCATCCCCGGGAATAAGGAACAGGGGAAGGTGGCGCTATATATGGATGACGTAGTCGTGCTATGTAGGGACGTGGCATCAGTGTGGGGGGCCATGAAGGAGACAAACCGCTTTGGCCTGGCCTCCGGCTTGAAGGTGAATGCGAGGAAGAGCGAATTGATGGCCTTCTGGGACCCGAGACTATTTGAGGGCCGGCCGCCTGAGTTGGGGATAAAGACGGAAGAAGTCAAGGTCTTGGGAGTGTCCTTTTGCCGAGAGAGGTCGGCGGAACGAAACTGGGGCGGGAGGATAAAGCAGGTAAAGGGACAGTTAGGCAAGTGGGCCGGGAGACGGCTCACGACGGAAGGGAGGATTCTGGTAGTGAGGGTGGTGGTTTTACCAACACTCAACTACCTCGCATATGTGTACCCGCCAGGTAGGAGGGAGGCAAGAATCCTGGAATCGCTGTTGTTTAAATTCATTTGGGGAGGCGGGATGGATAGAGTGAAGAGGGTGGTGATGTGTAAACGCGTCGAGAACGGGGGGAAGGGTGCCCCAAATATTGCACGTGTGCTGTCCTCAATTTTTGTGTGCAACACTTTGAGGTTATTCTTTTCCGAAGAGCCCCGGGGGAAGGCCGCATGTTATTTAAGGTATCGCCTGATGTGGCTCCTGAGGGGGCTTGGGATGACCCAATTACCGGCGGGCACGCCCTTGGCCTGGCCACAAGGATGGCTGAATGCGGCGGTGGGTGACTACATAAAAGTGTACAATTTGAGTCAGAGAGGGGGACCGTGGAACTCCAAGGAGGTATTGGCCAAAGTAAACGAAGGGGAGGCCTGCGAGGGGGTGATGGGCGCGAAGAGGACTATGTACCGTCAAGTGTGGAGGAACACTTCATCAACGGTGCTCACAAAAGAACAGAGAGATCTGTCCTGGTTGGCGGTGTGGGATAGATTGGAGACGAGGGGCTTCATGTTTTCTCGCCGAATGGCACGTTCGCCCAAATGCCCGAGGGGCTGCAACACAGATGAGGACGCGGTGCACGTCATGGTGAAGTGTCCCTTCGCACAGGAGGTGTGGAGACTGAGCAGTCCGCTGTTGTCCTGGTTTTACCCGTCGCAGGTGATAAGTCGGGACATTATGTGGGGAGTCTTAAGGGAGGTGCGGGGAGATGACAGAGATCGAACTTGGGCCATAATAGGCGCGACAAAGGAGGCCTTGTGGGGAGCTCGCAGAAAAGAGTTGGATGGGTCCCCTATATCACCGTTGGAGGTGTGCTACTGGGCAAGGAGGTTGCTAGAAAGGGTGATGGAAGTAGACCGGGTTAGGCTGCGATACAAGGCCGCAGGTGTGAAGTGGAAGTGGCCCCTACCCGGGGTGGGGTAGCGAGGGGACCGGCGGGTATAGGGAAGGGATAGTGAAGGATGGCCATGCACATTTTAGCCGGCCTGCTAAGTCGTGTGGGCAAGGAATGTACGTGTTCGATTGGGGGAAGGCGATGTGATGGAGCAGCGCATGGGTGAATGGTGGTGATGAATGTAAATAAGGGGAACGGGGCGGTGTGCGGTATGGCGGCGAGCTTTTTTTTTGTTGCATTGTATGTGGGTGGAGCCCGCGGATGTGACGGAGACTCGAAGGGGCCAACCGGGGCGCCCGGGAAGGAGTGGTTTTCAGTACTCTCTTTGGTTTTCCTTGTACCCGCTGAGAAGTTAATAAAATCCTTTAAATCGCAATTACCAGTGAAACGTCGTACTCAAAAATTGTAAATGTTGTGGTTTCACGCTTCAACACACCGGTGGGCTAAAGTAGTGAACTATTTGTCCTTTGTCAACGTGACACTTTTTTACCGATTGGCCGTGTCGGGTGGTGGAGGGTTACGACACATTTATAAATAACGCGATTTAAACCCAAAAACATTGATTATGGACGGTTCTTAAACTAAGCGAGGTTATTGTAGTTATTGTAAGAGCTTAGGAAAAAGAGACGACCATAGGAAATTCTAAACTTGAGCAGTGCGAGGCAAGTATCAGAAATGTGGTAACTGGGAGAGTGGATTAGGGGAGTGATTGGGCGAGTGAGTAGGTGAGGCAGATGCTCTGACCTGGAGTGTGGTGGTTGAGTGAGTGGATGTGGGAGCGTGTAGGTAGTGGGTGATTGTGTGAGTGTGTTGTTGTGGCCTGCGGTGAGGTGGTTGAACACAGCGTAGGTAAGATGAAACAGCGTCTGGTTGACCGAGTCCTCAACGGGGATGGAGGAATCACTAAGTGAAGTTCACTGCAATGGTAATCGTGGTGGTAGAAGAGTTATAAAGGAAGTGGACCTGCGGTGAGCGAGTGATGGTGTAACACCAGCTGACATAAAATTGCGTGAAGCAGCACCACCAGTATTGTTGTATCATTGTGTGCACAGCGACGTGGGTGGGAGGTGGATACATCAACGGGACGGCAGAGGCGATCTACCTGCCCAGCTCTGGGCTCGCGTGGGCACAAGCTCCCTTCGGATACGCCATGAGTCTCGTTCTTGGTAGGAGTCGCCAGCTATAAGGGTATAGAGTCACCACTTTTTCCACAGGACCGAGCTTTGACATGTTTCTAGTCGTCCTGTGTCTACTAAAGCTGTGCAGTATCCTGTAATGAAGTCCAACACAATAATACCAGTACCAGATGTCAGTACAAATCAAACCTGTCACCCGAACACAGGTGCCAAATCCTGGACAATTCGTATCACTATTGGACAGGTGGCAACCTTCTCTAAGGCTGATGTTTGTCTGCCAACCATCCAGACGACAGCACGACCTGGCTAATCATAGGCGGTGGGTAGTGATAGCCAACAGAGCTTAGCCCTCTCAATCTTATTAACCGACTGGTGTTATTCAAACACAGCCCTACACGGTAATAAAAAAAAAACTCTCAATGCCAGACTTGGCAAGAGAGCGCAAGGTCACCGCGAGCAGAGCAGTCGGTGAGACGGTGACCTTAGGCCCATCGGTCCACCGCACAGCATCCTCGTGGCAACTTTGTGCTCTCTCGTTTTTTAACACTTTATTCTACAACAATTCATAAAAATAATGTTAACTATGAAACAATATTCCAGGTCCCGCAAAGAACGTACGTTTATTTTCACCGGCCACCTTTTTTCAATAACAAACATTACAGACAGATATAGTGCAATATTTTGGGTAACCTGTATTCCGTAAAAAATAAAGAATCAGATAACATGCATCCTTCACATGTTGCTTTTTCCACATAACAACTTAAAGCATGTTTGAAAACGTCCAATCGGCTACACAGCCTTCTGGGGATGCATTTTCTATTCAGAAGCATTGGTTTGATACAAGCAAACTATGGACCGGTTTCGACATTCAGTCATGTTTGCTTGACCCAATGCTGGCAAACTGCTATATATGTATAGGCTAAGAACCTATCTATTGGATGTGGGTCCTCAAGTATTCTTGTGTTAAACACATGCTTTTGAAGATTTAACTCCCAGAAGGCCATGTGGTTGTTGTGATGTATAAAAAAACTAACTTTATTTTTTCATGTGGAAGGACAGATGTGTGAAGGAGGCAAATTGTCTGCATATTCATGTTGTGACATTTCCCACAAGGGGCATGCTTTCTCTCTCCTCTCACTTGCAGGAGGCCTCTTCTTCGCCAAGCCAATGCGCTCGCGGGGCTACGTGACGATGCTCGATCCCTTCCAGCTGCTCTACGGGAAACGCATGGGTGGCCTGCTCTTCCTGCCTGCGCTCTGCGGAGAGATCTTCTGGTCGGGCGCCATCCTGTCTGCCCTGGGTTCGACTCACATCTCACTCACTCTGTCATCTAGCTACGCCATCTCACTTCACACCAGCTCACGCTATCATCTCACTCACTCTACCATCTAGCTCCACCACCTCATTCCATGATTTAACGCCATCATCTCACTCCACGATTTCGTGGAACCGTGCAAGGAGGGATGCAACCTACATTGAGTCAATGCCGAATCCGAGAGGTAGATATGGTTGCCACCTGCCCAGGTTTGACCTGGCATCTGTGTACATGTGGCAGGAGTTGATTAGTACTGAGATCTGCTACCGGTATTGTGATACGCATTCTGAGAGGGAACCGTACAGTTTTAATGATACACCGGGTGCTGAATGCGTGCAAATTATTTCTAAGACGTGGTGTCTCTATGATCCGGTACCCATCTCTCATTCGGTCGTGAGCCTTTATGTCATCTGGCACATGTATTAAACACAGTTAAAAACAAATTGAATATATATGTATACAGTTGATCATCATTTATCAGGTGCGTGGTTATCCGGCTTCCACCATTATCCGGCGGGCCCGGGCCGATCCGGCGAAACTGGCAAACCCGCTCCAAAGGCTGTAACGAGTCCGGCAATCATTAAATACACATGGTTGTTGAAACAAGAGAGTAATAGTACTGCGAACATCACCCCTTGCAGAGTCTTCGAGATTGGAGTGGTAAGTACACTACATTAAATAGAGTAACTTTTTACGGTAGGATATTTTTGTATATTTGTATGTTTATTTATAGGTACCAATTTAATATAGTATTTTTTTTATATATATGTAGTGTATAACTCGGAGACACGAATAGTAGGAGGCACAATATTTATTATAGCCTTCATAGGTACAAGAGGTAACTATGCTCGGGTCAGGACAGCTAACAGGCTGCCTGACCAACAACGCCGACGAGGTGAAGACGGTGACGAGGACTCCAGCAGTATGACGGTTCCACTCCAAACAACAGCCCCGAACCCTCGCTCAGGGTCTTTCCTTTATACACCCAGCGTGGCCTCACTCCGCATTCGGCCACGCTCCCCTTCTAGAACCCACCAGAAGGTTCCCGGGCTTTACCACACGTACCCCCTCTGTCCCCCTTGCCCCACCACGTCCCTTTCTCTGGCTCATCACATCCTGCTGGCAGACAGGGCTACTACACCTCTGATCCCCTTCTGTGCCAGCAACCAGTGCTATGCGCCACAGTGACCCATTCCATGTCACTACACATACACATAACACCTAAATACGTAATATTGTGCAAGAATGTGCAAAAATAATAGCTTATTTAAAATAATGATGATTAGTGATTATCTGGCGTTTTTAAAAATCTGGCACACCCTCCCCCCCGAAGAGATCGGATGTATAATTATATATCCGATGGCTTATACATCGATTATACGAAATGTAATCGATGTATATGTAATTATCGGTAAGAGTTAAATGCGTTCCTTGAATTGAGTAAGGTTATGAGAGCTTGGATAAATAAATGACAGGAGGGCATTTAAATTGTGGAACAGTGCGAGAGAAGGGGCAGAAAGATAATCGTTGTGATCTGCTGTGTGGTTAGTGGGTAGGTGGGCGAGTCGGTGAGTGCGTTAGTGAGTGTGCTGTTGTGACTGGCAGCACGACGAGTGGGTTGGGTGTGTTGCTGTGACCTGTAGTGTTCGTGGTTAAACACAGGGTGGATGAGATTCAACAGTCAGTGTCTGGTATAGACCGAGTGCTCACCATGGGAGGAGATATCAACGAGTGAAATTTACGGGAACGATAACCACTGTAGTAGCGATAGAAGAGTAAAAAGGTGACTGACCACTAGTGAGCAAGTGACTGGAGTGTACCTATATTTAACCAGACGCAGACCTGCTGATAGGCCATGGAGTACCCATTGAGTCTGCTGGGTGGACAGATTTGAGAGTATTCTATAAACGTTCCCATTGTCTCAACATTCCCACCGGGACGTGGAATAGAACTAGCGACTTCTGGATTAACCCACTTTATACTGCTAGGCTACTTAGGAAACTTGCCCAATTGTTCTCACTGCCGCGCTGGATAATCCGAATTGTAAGTCGAGCAGCTCCCTCCGTTTCTCTGTTAATGAGGTTACACATTTACGTGCATTGCCAGGCATTGTGTGTGTGGCAAACCAGTAACTTGCTGTTGTGATACTCCCAGGCACGCTACCGTGCAGCAGTGTGTATATAAAATGTGAGTGTGTATTTATGTGTCGGTGTATTTACGTGCCTCAAATATTGGAATAAGAAGTCACCCCCTGTGAGTGGCTGGCTAAGGTGCCATCTGTTGAGGAAGTACTGAAGGTGATCCAGAGTCCGAGACCAGGAAAGGCACCGGGCAGAGATGATCTCCCAAGCGAAATGCTGAGGGTGGCGATTGTGCACAAACTGCTCTACATTACATCATAACAGTCTGGACCACTGGACGGGTTCCACAGAATTGGAAGGATGCCCTGGTGGTCCCCCACTTTAAGAAGGGGGACCGCACAGACTAACAACTACAGGGGCATCTCACTCCTCAGTGTGCCGGGAAAGGTCCTGGCAAGGATTATTCAACATCGCCTCGCTAGGCACGTTGAGGAGAGGCTTGTGGAGTTCCAATGCGGTTTCAGGAAATGGCAGTCTTGCACAGATGCCATATTTTCTGTCCGTCTGCTACAGCAGAGGTTTAGCGAATTCCAACAAGACCTACATCTCTGCTTTATTGACCTGGTCAAGGCCTATTATACCATCAGTAGGCCTGGGCTTTGGGTTGTTCTTCGTGCTTTCAGAGTCCCTGACCCTCTGCTCGCGATCATTAAGGACCTTCGTGATGGCCCAGGTAAAACTACGTGGCCGGGAATCTGAGCCATTCCCTGTACACCTTGGGGTGCGACAGAGATGTCCTCTGGCTCCCACATTATTTAACATATATTTCGACCACGTAGTTCATGAAGTCTTCAATAGCTGTAACGGAGAAATTTCCATCTGGTACAGACACAATGGGAGGCTGGTTGATGCCCGGGTGTGGTCAAGGGATGGCTCCCTATTGCTCAACCATGTTATGTATGCCGATGATCTGATAATTGCTGCTCACTCAGAGGAGGAGTTGGAGGCGCTGCTGCTGAACCTGGAGCTTGCCACTAAGAGGTGGGGCTTTACCATCAGCCCAACCAAAACTAAGCACCTGCCTGGGTATTTTATACCATCGGACACTCCACCCCCACAACTCCCAATTGGTGATAGGGCAGTTGTGGAGAGAATGGAGAGTTTCCCATACCTGGGCAGTGTGCTCATGACCGGCTCCGGTTTAACAGCAGAGGTCTCACTCCAAATCAGTCGAGCGGCATTATCTTTTCATCGGTTGCGTAACGCTGTGTGGAAGCTACCTGGTCTGTCACTCCGGCATGAAGCTGCAGGTCTTCTCGGCCACAGTCATTCCCTCCCTTCTCAATGCTTGCGAAACGTGGACCCCCTAATGGAACATCTTCGCCGGTTGGAAACATTTAGGTTGGCCTGCCTACAATGCATCCTGGGTTTAACCAGGCTGGATTATGTGAGCTCACAAATCCCTGAAAGATCTGGACAAAGTCCCATTGGTGAGCTCCTCCGGCAGGCAAGGCTGTGTTGGCTGGGTCATGTAGCCCGCGTGCCCAGCCACCGCATGCCTAAACAGCTTTCGTTCGTTCGGATCGAGGGGGCGAAATGGGTGCGGAACGGGCTAGAGAAGAGATGGAGTGATGTGGTACAGGAGGATGTGGAGCTGAGTGGACTTGCCGATGACTGGTACCAGCGGTGTCAAGATCGGCCTCTGTCGAAGAGGCTCGTGAAAGATGCTACTGGGCAGTTGGAGGCAGTCACCCTCCAACAACAACGGAGGGCGGAGGAGCAACGCTCACAACAACGAGCGGAGTGCCCGGTGGCTAAAGCACAGCAAGTAGGGCACAGTAGGGGGCACAGGTGGTGCATTAGCCAGTCATCTCAGTCATGCGACCTGTGGCATCTGGGTCTGCCCCGTGACCTCCTGCCAGCAGGCGTTCGACACTTCACGTGGCCTCAAAGTGCACATAGCCTGGCACAAGCGTCGTGGTGACGTCACCGCCACTTAGTGGTGAATGGCGGTTGTTGTATTTACGTGTGTATGTATTGTGTGTGTATTACGAGTGTGTGTGTATTACGAGTGTGTGTGTATTACGAGTGTGTGTGTATTACGAGTGTGTGTGTATTTACGTGTGTGTTTATGTGTGTGTTTACGTGTGTGAGAGTGTGTGTTTACCACTCACTAATAACACTATCACTACCACTGCTATCACTACCACCACTATCACTACCACCACTATCACTACGACCACTATCACTGCTACCACCACTATCAATACCACCACTAACAATATCACTACTACCACTATCACTGCTACCACCACTATCACTACTACCACCACTATCACTACTATCACTACCACCACTATCACGACTATCACTACCACCACTGTTATCACTACTACCAACGCTATCAATACCACCGCTTACACTACTATCACTACTACCACTATCACTGCTACCACCACTATCACTACCACCACCACTATCATTGTTCCCACGACCCTCATTGATTCCTGCACCCAAGTTGAGGATAAGGACCAGGGGCGGTTTCTTCATTAGGGTGATTGAGCGACGCACCACCAATGTCATTCAACCACAGAGTCACGCTAGCCGTCACTGCACCCTCTGGATATAGTCCAATCAGCGTCATGTCACGTTCTGTGGAGTACCGCCTCTTTTTGGGCGATTTTACTCCGGCTGAGAATTGCCCCGAGTGGCCCCATAGACTTACATTCAAAGATGTTTTTTTTCGACCGGGGGGTGCTGCAATGCATTCTCTATGGCTTCCGGGAGGGCTCGCCCTAACGTGCTTACGTCATCATACGTGCTTACGTCATCATACGTAAGCACGTTTCATCCAACAATATAATTTGTGGCCACCTAGTGGAATCTTTAATAAAAGAAACTTGAGTGGTTTGTTTTAATAGTGAGTATAGAAACAAACAAGATGTATTGTAAGAGTCACTTTATTTTTCATTAATATTAAAAAAGTGAAGTTGCCTTTACATGCTTAAGCTGTTAATTTATCCATTGCATGGGTGGACCTTATCCTTATCAATCATCCAGACATTTGCCCCCCCTGAGAGATTTTGCAGGAGCCGCCACTGATAAGGACTACCAGACTCACGGATTCATCTCATCCACACTGTGATCAATCACAATTACAATCCAGGCCACAACAACACACTCACCACACTGCAGGTCACAACAACACACTCACTCACCATACTGCAGATAACCTCACTTCTCTTTCTCTCTGCTTCTTCTTTCACACGACTCAACTTGGCATCTCCTTCTGATCATTTCTTCCCTAAAGTCTCTTATAATATACTAGCTTTACTACCCGGCTTCGCCCGGGACTTGGATTCTTGTCTTGGATTAATTTAATATTCCCTTATAGTTCACTGAAAACCCCTGAAAAAATGTGATGCTTGCAAGAAAAAAAAAGCGGAAACAAATCAATGTAACTAAATCGGATGTTTTTCACTCATTTGTGCGTGATACATGGCCTACGCGGAGGGTGGGGGGGATGCGTGACGTCAGCAGGCACACTGCATAACGCTGCCGCATGCGGGTGACGTCACAAATGTGACGTCACAGATGTGACATCACTGCTCACTTGCCGTGCAATATATTAAATCCATTATTCCCCCCCCCCCCCCAAAATACAAAAGTCTATTTTTATACGTTTTACATTGTGTACAGTATGGAAGCTCCCCACATGCCAAATTTCAAGTTTTTAGCATGTTGGGAAGTATGCTAAACATTTCGAACAGACATATATATATATTTTCGTTATCAGGAAACGTGTTAAACTCTTTTATAAATGTTATTGCACGGTGTGTTGCTGGCTGCTTGACTTTTTTTTGCTTGTGCGTTTGGGCCCGTGCTGAGCATCTGTTTTAAAAACAACATAAAACAACATGAACACATATAAACAGAATAAAACATAAAACCAGCCCTTGCCCGCATGTCCCCCTTAGGAGCGACGCTGAGCGTGATCGTGGACATCAACATCGACATGGCCGTGGTGGTATCGGCCTGCATTGCGGTGCTCTACACGCTTGTGGGAGGGCTCTACTCCGTGGCCTACACGGACGTCGTGCAGCTTATCTGCATCTTCCTGGGCCTGGTCAGGGTCCCGTCTCATCACAAAAAAGATAAAGATCCTCCGTATAGCCTTAACAGACTGTTGGGGCAAGTGCTGTTCGTGAGCGCCTATGAAGGCCGTCACGGTACATGAGGTGGCCAGCACCACGCCCGACTGCCTTTGTCTCCCCAGTGACGATGTTTATAAACCGCACCAGGTACTCATTTGAAGCGGAGTCGACTTAGGGGAGGCCCAGGATCGATTCAGATAATCGACACTGGTGTTGACCATGAGCAGGTATCGAACTCGGGTTTCTGGGTTCGTAGCATAGCGCGCTAACCGCTACACCACCGCTAACACAGCACCCACGACCACCCCCAGGGTTGCCATTGATCTGGGTTGGACCAGAATAGTTCAAGAGTTGGCACATGTTCAAATAGCAGAGATTGATTTGTACTGATATCTGATAACCAGCACTAATTGTTTAACTTCATAACAGAAACATACACAGTTTTGTTAGACCTAGGCTGACTAATACATGTCAGGGTTTGGTCTGTGTAAAAATATGGCAACCTCAACCACTTACCCACCCACTCACCCAGACAGCCAAGAGGGTTGCCATCTGTTAAGGTTTGACTCGCTACATTCGAAGAATTGGCATCTGTATGCCGGGTGAATAGACCCAGGCCGATTTGTTTGACACAATAACTGACCCACGACGAGGAGCAGCTAATAATTAAACCAGTGATATAACAGCGTCCCTATAGAGCCTGTATGATGCACCTGTCAATTTAAAGCATTTATTCTCACTATTCAAGCTTTAAAATCGTGTCAGACAGCCCAAGCCACGGCTAACATACATCATCCAAATGAGTAGTCTTTTTTCGAGCTGCATCTTCCTTTAAGAAAGTGAAAAACACCACAGAGTGATGCTCCCGAGGGCAGCTCCAGAGGAGCAGACACATCATGGCCAGAAGAGATGATAGCCGGTGGTCGAGACTTAAGACAGTTAAGGGAGTAAGCACGCTGGAGAAATGCTTTTCCTTTAGAACTGCTTTATAGTTTTCTTTAGAACAGCTTTTTGTGTTTAGTTTGTTGGCCTTCCCCTGCACCTCCTATTAGCTTGGTTGACTACGTACGGTGCAAGAGAAATTCAACATCCATACATACTGTAAATTGTCCACCACAGAGATGAGAGTGTTGAAATCACCACCTGTGCAAGAGGTGACTAATATTGCTGCATTGCAAGACCATGAAATAGGAAATACGAAAGTGACTTTGTATTGCTCACTTACAATATTGCCCAGCAGCGCATTACATTATTAACTCTGATTTTAAGATGGCGATGGCTCAAGGTCTTTATTTAGCAGTGGAAAGAGAATGGCTGATGATGACGTGCGTGTTTGTCATTGCAGGGTCTCAGCGTTCCGTTTGCCCTGATGAACCCGGCCGTGAGCAGCATCTCGGAAACGGCTCACGCGTCCGACACGCAGCCCGGCTGGCTGGGCAGCGTGGATCCGCGTGACGCCTTCATCTGGGTGGACAACTACCTCCTGCTCGTACGTTTGGCACGTCACAACCACAACAAATCGTCGAGAGGCATTCGGTTGATGATGTGGCTGTGGGTGGGTCCAGGGCAACCTCACAGTGACCCTTACCCAAGGGTGCATTTTTAGATATGGAGATAGTTTAATCACCCAACTCCCCTGACAATATCAAGGATCCAAAAATAATTGAGCAATATGCTAAATGTATTTGGAAATAACAATCGTCAATGTTCTCGCAACAACATTCTTCATACAAGAGGGTTTACAAGAAAGATATCCAACCCAAAGAAATTGTACGTTCAGAGTGGAGAAGTTTTCTGTTTTTAGCGAACCGCTTTATCACACACCATTTACAGAGCAAATAATTTCACCACTGTTAAACAGGGTGTTTTTTTCTTCTTATAGTAGGACATTCAGAAGAGAGTGTTATTTTCCTTAATAGTCACAGGTCTATTTTGTTCTTGGCACCCACCACCTCATTAGTTTTACAGTGTGACACGTTCAACAGACACTGGCAGCCTATTCCAGATTAGACCTCGCTTCACGCGAACTCGTCGGTCGTCTTCCCATCGGTTTGTTCTCCAAGGTGTCGGCTTGCATGCTCGTTCTAAGCATGGACTAAATTGCCTAGACTCGCTTGGCTCGTTCTGATATCTCACCGCTTGTCCAACCAACACGGACCCTCATTGGTGTTCTGCCTCCGGACTCCTGAAAGGCTAAAATAAAAAAAATATATACATAATTCTTTCTTACACCACATATACTCATATTCACTTAATGCAACCTCAGATGTCAGTGTAATGCGATGAGACAATGTTCTGTCCAACTAATGCTTATTGCGTCCTTGCTTCACCAAGCACCCACGAAGGAATGTGTTCCTCTGTAACGCTGCATCTGCGTCAGCCCCTCGGCATAATGTGAACTCTGATTTTTAATTCCCGGTATTTCATTGAAAATGCTGTTCACCCCTCCCTCTCTGAGCATGGCTTAGGTACATTTTTCCCCCTTATTGACTCAGCCCTTGTGATTTAGCTTATCTTACAACTGGCAATAATGAGAGCAAAGGTGTGCGAGAGAAACAGGGAGATGTGGGGAGGGAGGTGGGTGAGGTAACATGGAGGGAGGAGAGGAATAGAGAGGGAAAGGTATAAACGGGGACAGCAATAGAGAAACAGATATAAACGGAGGCAGTGTGAGAAATGGATATTAATTGAGATATATAGTACCAAGAAGGCAAGAGAAAGGTGGAGACAGATTAGACGTTTTGCTGACTGGCTGGCTGGCGCAGAGAGACGGATATGATGGCCATGTCCAAAGGAGTTGCGGATTGCCTGCCTTTCATCATTTTACATCAAAATGTACTCACATTTCGTCACATGGCGATCTGACGTTGTTGCGTTGATCTTTGATAGACAACGCATTGGAGTATGGGATGTCCATGGCTAGTTAGAGACCCTTGGCCGGGAATGAATATGGAGCCACTCTGACCTGTAGAGCAATTGCTGCGTGAATCAACGTTGGCAGCTGCGCTGCACGTGGTTTCTAATCTGGCACTGCGGAGGTCAGCGAGGGTTGGTGGATTACACACTCACAAACCTCCCTCCCTACCCATGAGCATCCCTGCACCTCCCAGCGAAAACTTTGCCTGTTACCAACTCGGCAGCGTTTTGAGATGCAATTTGCACGAATGATGCAACATACAAATAAAACATTGTTATTTTAAGTTTGCATGGTTGCAGTTTCTATCATCTGATGTATGTTTGTGCACTGCTTTTGATATCTCCTGTAATTTGTTTGTTTTTGCACTAATTTCTGTTTTCTCTGCCCTGATTTGAATTCTTGTTTTTTGTTCTGATTTCTTGACTTGAAATCTTTAAACGTTTTTGCAGATGCTGGGCGGAATCCCATGGCAGGTTTACTTCCAGCGTGTTCTGTCCGCGTCGTCAGCTGCCTACGCACAGGTGCTGTCCTACCTGGCGGCATTCGGCTGCCTTGTGATGGCTGTGCCCTGCATCATCATCGGTGCTGTGGGAGCCTCGACGAGTAAGCGTGGATCACCGTTTCTCTCGGTCTCTTCTGGCCTCATTCATCATCATCATCATGTAGGGTTGTCACCTTTCACATAGGAGACCAAACACACACACAGGGGTGCCGCGGTGGCGAGATGTTAACTCCCTTGCCTGGTATGCAGGAGGTCATGGGTTCGAGGCTGACCCTGATGACACCTGCTGTATATGTGGAGTTTGCATGTTCTCTCTCCTTGTGGTCACGTTGATTTTTCTCCGGGTCCTCTGGTTTTCCCCTCCACATTTAGAAACATGCGTTTATGGTATTTGGCTGCTATACATTTCCACACGATAAGCCACTTTGTTAAGCTATCATTTCTGGTCCGGTTGCTTCTGAAAAAGAGCTACATGGCTCAGAGGGCCTTACCTAGCAAAATAAGAATAGTTTAGTTTTTAAACCCTGACAAATTTCTCAGTCAACCTAGGTCTATCAAAACCGTGCAGTAGTCTACTGTAATAAAGTTCGACAGAATATTTCCATATCTATTTCGATTTAAAGCTTTCGTGACTGCAGGGATTCATCTTCTTGATTCTTTCGGTAAAGTCACGTAGAATGGAAAAAATAAAAAGAAAACATAATGAAATAATATCTAGTTACAAATAAATTAACATACTCTTAGTTTTTTCGGTAAGTCACGTAGGTAAAAAATGCAATTAAAATTTATAAAAATAAAATAATAAAAATCACGACGTTTCGGAGGCAACACAAGTCTCCGTCATCAGGTGGGACCGTCACAGCCAGATTTGCTGTATCAAGTGAGGCAGGGATTCCAAGATGCAAGTTGTTAAATACAAGTTAAGGGGGAGGAGAGGGGGGGAGCTTATCAGAATGTGGTAGCCAATGAATGGAACGTATCGGGAGAAGGGGGGGCTAAAAAAGAGCACGAGGTGCACGAGGTGCACGTAGACGTGGACGTGTTTGTGCGCAAGTCCCTGTTGGTGCGCATGATAACGTATTAGAAGGGGGGGGGGGGGCTAAAAGAGAGCACGAGGTGCAAGTGTATGTAGACATGCCTGTGCACAAGTACCTGTTGGTGCACATGATAGAAGAGAACGAAAATGCCCATGTTGTTTATACCAGTGTTGGCTGACAATAAAGAGAGTACTGTTAAACGCTGGGGATGTTAACACTCGGTAAAGTAAAATAGTGCCTGTCAGATAAGATGGTCCAAAAATGTGTAGTTAAATATTTTTTGCATGGTTAATAACATCTTTCCAATGATTACTAAGTTTGTACCCATCATCAAGGTGGAAATTATGTCTGTGTTTGTATATCTGAATGGCTTCGTGTACAAACCTTTAATGGTAGCCAGAGGGTTTGCAGAGCACCTTGGTCTCGGAAAAAACAATATCATGAGAGCCCACCGCGTTGTAGCAATGATCGGCAACGGCGGAAGACTCAATTTTGCCATGTTTCAAATCTGACTTGTGCTCGCGGACACGATCAGAGACATGACGTTTCGTTACACCAATGTAACAATCACCACAGCTGCAACTCAGTTTATAGACTCCAGGGTATTGCAAGTCAGGGATGACATCCTTCACAGATGGAATTAGATCACGGATTTTATATACTGTACTGAATCAGACTTGGATCTTATGTTTGTTTAGAATTTTGGAGATCTTTTTGGTTACGCCAGCTATGTATGGCAACGTGATAGTTTTTATCGGAGTTTCAAGTCGCTGTTTCTGTATGGTGGGAGAAACAGCTTGGCGGATGGTGCGGTCAGAGTATCCGTTCATCCTGAGGGCCCGATGTACATGTCTTAATTCACTGGCCAGGTGGTGTTGGTCAGAAATGCCATGAACTCTGTGGTATAGCGTTTTGATGAGATAATTCTTTTGAGATGGGTTGTGGTGGGAATCAGGTTTCAAGTAGGAATCTGTGTGGCTGGCTTTCCTGTAGACAGAATGTCCCAAGGATCCGTCAGGTCTCCTCTCAAACAGAATATCTAAGAATGGTAGTTTGCCATCTTTCTCCAATTCCATGGTGAATCTGATGGATGGGTGTCTGGAATTGATGTGGTTCAAGAAGTGGTTCAATGCTGGGAGGCCATGTGGCCAAATGACGAAAGTGTCATCCACATACCTCTTCCACAGGGAATGACGCAGGGTGGATGTCTGGATGGCGTCTGATTCAAACTTTTCCATGAACATGTTGGCTTTTACTGGTGACAAGGGGGAGCCCATAGGGGTACCCTCATTCTGTTTTTAGAAGGTGCCATTCCAGGTAAAATAAGTGTTGGTGAGGCAATGCCTTTCCAGCGCAGGTACATCCGAATTCAATCCATGTTGGACCAAGTCCTCAATTATTGTTAGGGTGTCAGACACTGGGACTTTGGTAAACAGAGATACTACATAAAAACTGACGAGGATATCATCAGGAGATAGTACCATGTCCTTGACCATAGAGACTAATTGGGTTGAGTTGAGTACTGCCGAGGAGGTCTTGCCTGTGAAGGGAAGCAGAGTATCTGATAGAAAACAGACTAGTTTGTAGGTCGGGGAGTTGATCGTCGACACGATGGGTCATAGCGGGGTGCCTTCTTTATGGATCTTGGGAAGACCATAGAGTCTGGGAGGTCTTGCCGCCGATGGTTTTAGAGAGGGACGTTTGGTTGGTTCGATTAGGGAAGTCGAACTCGTGATGATCTTGTTGGGTTTTGTCGTTAGGCTTTTAGTAGGATCGCTTTTAATTTTGTAGTAACTCCCATAATTAAGTATGTCCAGGATTTTCTTGTTGTATGATTCTTTATCCATGATGACCGTGGCATTGCCCTTGTCTGCCGAGAGGATGACTATATCATCTCTCTTTTTTAGGTTCGCGAGTTCAGAGCGTTCGTTTTTGCTAATGTTACTAGTGGGTTTCTTAGGATTCTTAAGAATAGTGGCTATTTCAGCTCTTGCTACATCCGCATGGATGTGTCCTATGCCTCTGAGGGCAACATCAACCTGAGAAATGACATCCTCTACTGGTATATATTTAGAGGTGACAGCGAAATTTAGTCATTTGGCCAGTACCGTTTTCAGATTGTCAGAAATTGGGATGTTTCTCTGATTAATAACGGTCTTGTTGACATCCAGCTTTGTGATTTGTGGCTCTGATTTCTTCTTAGATAGGAGGTTGAATTTAGAAATCAGGTTGGCTTTGCATTTGGCTGACAGTGAGTCAGCAGAGGCAGAAGTGATGTTGACAACGTGGTTCAAATCAGAAGGGGACATTTTTTTGTTTTAACATTAAATGTGTTTGTAAGAGAGTTTTGTCTAAATTATCGAGTTCAACTCGGAGTAACCTTATTCTCTCTGAGATTAGTGATAGGCTAGCTTTAAATAAAATCTGTTTAGAGTTCGGTGAAGACACAGCAGCAGATGTGAGTGTGAGAGTGATGGGTATTACCTTGTTATCGCGGCATCTCTTGAGGAAGGCCAGCGTCTCGAGAAGCTGTGACTTCTTGTCTCGTTGTCTGTTAAAAATTCTAACAGATAGGTGAAATTCCTCTCCTTAGAGGGTATTAATTCTAGATTTGAAGCTTTCGTGACTGCAAGGATTAATACTCTTAGTTTTTTCGGTAAAGTCACGTAGGTAAAAAATGAAATAAAAATTAATATAAATAAAATAATAAAAATCACGACGTTTCGGAGGCAACACAAGTCTCCGTCATCAGGTGGGACCGTCACAGCCAGATTTGCTGTATTAAATGAGGCAGGGATTACAAGATGCAAGTTCTTAAATACAAGTTAAGGGGGAGGAGAGGGCGGGAGCTTATCAGAATGTGGTAGCCAATGAATGGAACGTATCGGGAGGGGGGCGGGGCTAAAAGAGAGCACGAGGTGCACGTAGACATGGACGTGTTTGTGCGCAAGTCCCTGTTGGTGCGCATGATAACGTATTGGAAGGGGGGGGAGGGCTAAAAGAGAGCACGAGATGCAAGTGTATGTGGACATGCCTGTGCACAAGTACCTGTTGGTGCACATGATAGAAGAGAACGAAAATGCCCATGTTGTTTGTACCAGTGTTCGCTGACATTAAAGAGAGTACTGTTAAACGCTGGGGATGTTAACACTCGGTAAAGTAAAATAGTGCCTGTCAGATAAGATGGTCCAAAAATGTGTAGTTAAATCTTTTTTGCATGGTTAATAACATCTTTCCAATGATTACTAAGTTTGTACCCATCATCATGGTTGAAATTATGTCTGTGTTTGTATATCTGAATAGCTTCGTGTACAAACCTTTGATGGTAGCCAGAGGGTTTGCAGAGCACCTTGGTCTCGGAAAAAAACTATATCATGAGAGCCCACCGCATTGTAGCAAATACATTAACTGTCACCTGAAACAACGGATACCTTTATCCAAACTGTCCTGGTTAAACCAAGACAAGTGGCAACCCCAACATTGTTATCATCAGACATCATTGCTAAACTATCCACCGTTGGATGGAAGTTGCCCCAAGCAGTTGCCATCTGTCATGGTATTGTGATGCAATGTAACGTCGTTGATGCAAATTAGTGATTAAAAAAGCGGTAAAGGTTTGTCCAGGAAGGGAAGCCACAGGCAAGTGGCAGTGAAGGATAGCCATAATAGGAGCCAACAATGTCCCAGGTTCTACGCTCTTACATTGGGATGTTTAGCCAACTCCAAGTTGCATTGAGGTGTGGTTATGGCATCGGCGCCTTTGGCCACAACGTCATCTTGATCTGGACCGATAACCGCGTGTCTTGCAGACTGGAACGAGACGAGCTACGGCCTGCCTGACCCCAAGGCTCGCAATGAGAGTGACATGATCCTGCCCATCGTGATGCAGCACCTGTGCCCCGAGTACATCTCCTTCTTTGGCCTGGGCGCCGTGGCGGCAGCCGTCATGTCCTCTGCCGATTCCTCCATCCTCTCTGCCTCCTCCATGTTCGCTCGCAACATCTACAAGTTGGCCGTGCGACAGCAGGTGCCAATATCGGTGGTAGTAGTAGTGGTGGTGGATCATAATAAGAGTGACAATAGTGACACGTGTGTTTGATTGAGCTGCCCTCCTTCATGGCGGTGGGCATCTCTTACGCTTGACAAGCAACTTACACCAAATCCCATCTCAACGCACGTGTGAAAGTGCACCCTCAGTGGCAGCTGTTACCATGTGACGCGAGATAACCCAGCACCTGGCCTGCGAATGGGCATTAGTTAGGCGGTAGGGGGGCGATGTTTGCTGTGCATAATCCCCATGGAGTACAGAAAAACCTCGCTGAATGCAGAGGTTTACGTTCCTGGAAAATGCCGTGTGGGCCAAAACCGCGTTTGACAAATAACACTGGTCAACAAAAAAAAACATTATTTTCTGGCCTGGACTTTTGCAGCTGCTGATTCCAAATCTGATCTCAGATTTTCTCTATCACATCTCATTTTGATGCTATCGGCATACCCCATTTTCATTGATTTTACCCGAAATTAACTGTCACTTATGATTGCAAGTTGTAGCGAGTCAGTGACTGCTTTAGTGTTAAAATATGGTGCTGTATTTTTAGGATAGTGTGTTAATAATATCATTTTATGTAGATATCCACATTTATTTTATATTTTTCTTCTGAAGTTTTTATTGAAAATGTAATATTTGATATCTCAAAAACCTGATGTGATAGTCAAAAACTGATGCCAGATTTGGAATCAGCACCCCAAAATTACATTAAAACCGTTGGAATACCTTATGCCAGAAAAAGTGTGTTGACCAGTGTAATAGATCTTGTAACACGCACGTAAATTATCACACCCTCCCTCTTTGTTTAACTAATTATATATGATGCTGCCCCTACTTGGTATCACATTTAAATAAAAAACAGACAAACGATACATGTAAATATATATATTTTTTAAATTAGAACATAGAATAAAATAAAATAAGTGAAACTGCTTACATTTTTTGTACTCACATTGAATGATGGTGAAGATGATGTTGGTTGGGAGATGTTGGAAGGAGCTCAGAGGGTTGAGGAGCCCTCTCCAGGGTCAGTTGGAGACCCACTGGGATCATTCAGGAAAGTGCCAAAGTACTGGGCACTGCTTTCACTTTTGCTTTCTTATAAATATCCGTGAAGGTGGCTAGCCTTCTCCTTTACCACTGCACTACTAAGAGGCACTTGTCTTTGCATGTGGTCCTCCTCGATCTACACATCTAGAGCCTTTTCCATTGTCTCTATCAGTGGATCACGCCAGAAAACAAGGGACAGCACTGGCTGGGGTGCTGGCATAAACACCGCCCCTTGTCCTCCGATTCCTTAAGCATTCTCACAGTCGATTAATTCAAGCCATAGTATGGGCTGTGTCTCACTTAACTAGGGAGATATGTTCTGTGGCAAGCGAAAACTCGTTAAACGATCATCGTTTTCCCATTCACTCCCATGTTAGAAGCTAAGCTACGATCGTTCTCCAATCGATACGCAAACATTTTGCTCTTTTTGCGGACAAACAGGTCTAAAGTCAAAGTTGTTGGTTATAGGGATTCTCCTAGAAAGAAAGTGCAGTAAGGGAGACACGCCTGTACCTTCTAACGGATGCAACACTCTCACTTCTAGCAAGCTTATCTCTAACTGCACTTTTTTCACTGAAGTTATAACTTTTCTCTGCTTTTATCATTACAATCGCCACCACCACCACTCAACTTACTCTTCGGGGCCATGAATAGAAAGTGAGACCGCATGAGAGTGTTGGGGAGAGAATATGGAGACAAAATAATAATCTGTAGCATAGCTAAACTAAAAATAAACTAAACTATTGACGAAAAAATAATAGATCACGACGTTTCGATCGCAACACAAACAACCGTCATCAGGTGTGAAACAAACACAGCAGGAGGCCTGCTGACATAGCTCCTATATCAGCAGGCCTCCTGCTGTGTTTGTGCTGACCTAGGAGCTACGTCAGCAGGCCTCCTGCTGTGTTTGTTTTACACCTGATGACGGTTGCTTGTGTTGTGATCGAAACGTCGTGATCTATTATTTTTTCGACCTACGTGACTTTACCGAAAGAACCAAAGAGTATGGATTCCTGCAGTCACGAAAGCTTCAAATCAAGATTAAACTATTGAGCTATATGGCTTTTCTTCAGAAGTGGCCTGGCCACAATTGATAGCTGAACGAATTGGCTATCATGTGGAAATTTATAGTGAGTCAAATACTTGAAGCGAGGGGGTTAACATCTCGCCAGTACAAGCGGATCGTGCACCACTTTTCAACGCGGAGATGAGAATCTCAGCGGTGTAAAACCACATGTAGCCGAAACATGACCCCCGTGTTCTGGAAAACACAGACGTCATTCGGTGAACCGTGTTTTTTTAATTGGGCAAATTTGGACCATGACACCAGCACACAATGGCCTCACTCGTTTAGAATCCTTAACGTCCACTTTGAAGCAGACAGCACACATGTTTATATCTGGGCCATGTAACCGCCACTTTTTAATCCGGCGGTGTGGAGGTTCCAGTGCTCACCGCTCGTTGGGAGGGGTGGGGTGTCTCCCACGTGGAGCCGGACATTCAGCAATGGAATTGCCAAAGGTGACAATATAAGGTTACCAATGACTTACAAAAAGACCCATAAACTCACAGAGAAACACCGGATTCACACAAGGACCCGCAGGCACTCACAGACTCACACAAGGACCCAAACAAAGAATCTTGAGACTAACAATCAAATTCTAGACTGGGTTTGGCATTGGGTGTCTCATAATCAGTCAGGTTTACTTAAACTAATGCTGTTGTCTGCCAGATGTTTATAGACAAGGACCCTTTCTGTTCACTCTGTTATGGGTCAGAGTTCCCATTACCAGAAACCTGTGTGGCCAATGGAACGTGTAGAACTTTATTTTGTGGAGGGACTGCTATGGGAGGGAGGGGATGGGTATTGTTAACTTTTTTAAAAATACATTACTTATATTCTCCACATTGACGCAAATCACGATATTGTACTATATAAGAAAAAGGTTTGAAACCCATCGGATTGAAGTTGCGCACAACTGTAATCACCACTGTCTGTCGTTCCGCAGGCCTCCGACACGGAGATTGTGTGGGTAATGCGGATCACCGTCTTCTTCTTCGGTTTCGCCGCCACAGCCTTGGCCCTGCTCGCCAAATCCGTCTATGGCCTCTGGTATCTGAGCTCGGACCTGGTGTACGTCATCCTCTTTCCGCAACTAATCTGCGTGCTCTTCATCAAGGGCGCCAACACGTATGGCTCGATCACAGCCTACGTGGTGGGCCTGCTCTTCCGCATCAGCGGCGGGGAGCCCTATCTGCACCTCGACCCGCTTATATGCTACCCGGGCTGCTATGTCACCGACTTTGGGCAGGGCCCCGTCACCGTGCAGCGATTCCCGTTCAAGACGCTCTCCATGCTTGTGTCCTTCCACGTGAACATTGCCGTCTCTTACCTGGCCAAGTACCTGTTCGAGAAGGGACACCTGTCACCGCGCTTTGACTTCCTCGATTGCGTCGTCGCCATGGACAGCCGCGAGACGCTGGAGAAGGCCACACTGGTGCGGGGTGGCTCTGCCTACCCCATGGACGCGAGCGATGGGGCCGTGGGTCCAGCGGCGGCCGTGGCTGCGATGGCCGGAGGAGGAGGAGGTGGCGGTAGCGGTGGCTTGCTCATGGCCGAGTTAGCGCCGGCCGTTTTGGCGAGCGTCGGGGGGGCGGTGCTGCTGCAGACGTCGGCGGCGGCGGGGAGCGGCAGTGGCGGCGGACGGGCCCGGTTTGCGAGGTCTCGCCGAGGCCCTGAGTTGGTGGCAGCAGCGGAGGCCGCAGCGAACGACAGCAGTAACAGCGACGGCAGCAGTGGAGGAGGAGGGGGGGTGCTGAGTTCTGCATCGTCTCCCGAGGAGATCTCCCACAGCGTGCCACGCTGAGGCCTCGTGAGGGCCCAAACGTGAAACGTGAATGAAAAAGTGATGAGGTGGCGGTGGCGGGGCAGAGCAAATCAGTAGAAGGTGGAGCACAATGGTCAACCACATTCTAGCCCTAACCCTAACCAACAACCTAACCTGGCCTAGGCCTAACCCTGACCCTGGTGCCCACACGTTTTGTTCATTTTTTTCACGTTTGGTCTTTTACAGAATGGGTCCTCCACAGCCTCCTCTTCTTCAACAATCGAGATCACCCAAATATATAATTTACCCTTCGAGCAATCGCGTATAACCGTCTTGTTGAGCGCGCATCTCCGCACATTTAATACCATCTCGGAATGGTCTGCACATGTTTAATGCTCAGTAACGTCATCAAGTGCTGCTTCTTTAAACGCTCTTTCATCTCTAGACATAGCACCCTCGTTACTAACTGCGAGGTCCATCTAGTTTCACATCCTACTCAGTCTAGACAGCCTTCCATCTTCGGTCACTGCTGCTTGCCCTTCCAGGTCAGGACTTCCAAGACACTACAAATCTCCAAATTTCGACTAAAAACGTAACTGTTTAAATGTCTTTCTGTAGTTATTTTCAAACGTCTTTCTCACTTCCTCTTTCTTTGGTTGATGTTAACTATTTTCACCTTTCCATGCATAGTGCCCTGAGAACGATTGTTTTAAGGGCGCTTTATAGATGTAAAGTATATCAAGTTTAAATGCTTAATGCAAACAGTCCGCCTCAATGGTAAACGATGCTTAATATTTCAAAGTAAAACCTGTTCTTAAAACATTTCTGGAGAGTATCTCGAATGAGTACAGTCTATGTTTAAAAATAGTTTCCCCTCTTAATGGACTTCGCAACACGACAAAAAGCTCTTGCCTACTAGCGACGCAATGGGTGCGTAATGAGCCACCTGAACTGCCCTCTATCACGTCCGCCAGCAAGTTTATGAAATTGGCAAACTTTAGCATCCCGATTCACGAATCTACAATTTTTATTTAGTTTTTTTCAAATGCTACTTCATTGCATTTTTTTCTCTCAATGTTTCGGTAAAATTTCGTACTACTTAACCTACTAAAATAACGTAATATGTATCTCGAACCAAATATTGGCACGTGCATAAACGCTCATTTAATGAAGTTGGCCAAACATCCCAATATAGGATGGCAAAGCTTGGGCAATTATATGTGCACCGTTTCCGGCTTCTTTTCCAAGTGCTTGTCCGTGTTTTTTTTCCTGTGCCTCCAAGCGAACAAAAATCTGTGCGCGTTACAAAATCTACAGCAGAGTGTGGGCTGCACTTTGCGCTAAATAGTGCCGCTGTATAAAAATAAGACATTGGTATACGTATACACTTTGTAAATAATTGATTCTCTGCACAAAGTGATACACCGATCAAAAGCCTTGGAGTAGATGTTAATTGATGAACCAATGCATTGATGAACCAATACATACAGTATATAGTTTATACAGTACGGTACTGTAAATTGCTCTGTTTTGCTAAATTATCACCATTCTTTAAGACTCCTGGGTAGACTAGGCCATTTTTGACTTGCGATATTTTCAACTTACGATGGGGTCGTCGTAACGCATCTCCATCGTAAGTCGGGGACTACCTGTATATCTACAAGACAAGAGCTCTTTGTGTTTCGTGGCTTGTCTTCCTGTACCTACGCACTCGTACATATATACACACAGCTCTGTGTAAAGTAGTGACATGTCTTCGTCTTCCCATGCCTCTTGGGAAGATTATAGTCTCGTGGCTCTGGCCACTTACGTGATGTGTGTTCGTGTTACTGTGAAATTAATCGCATCGGAAACGATCCGTCATCCGTGTTGTCTTATCAAAACCGCGACGTGGACTTTTGCACCAAAAAGAGATGAACACCTCGGGATACCACCCGTCCAGTTGTCCCACACATCCTGAACAGTCTGGGAATTGGGGTTTGTGTTCGGGTCGTGCAGGAACCGACTTGTATCAAGACCTGGTACAAGTTTTTCTGTGTTGCACTTTATTACAGTAACCTGCACAGTTCTGAGAATAGGCCCGAGTGCTGACTTGAGAGAATATGTATAGGTATGGTCTGTGGTGGAATAGGTGACAGCCAAAGTGCACTGGCTGATACAAGCTTCATCTTATCAAGTAATTGTTTTCATGTTTTCAAGTGCATATTAAAGGTTTTTGGGTTAGATTACAAAAATGTGTCGTTAAACCCGCCACCACCCAACAGCCAATTAGTAAGGTTTGTCACGTAAACAAAATATTACAATTAGTTCCTAGTTCAGTACACCAGTGTGTTGGAGAGGAAACCCACAACATTTACAATTTGTGTACAGTATTTCGCCGGTAATTACAACCAATCTCATCAGGCGACAGCCAGTTGTGGAGAAATACTCCTGTTTTGGTCTTAAATAGTGAGATAAATGTGATGTCATCACTTGGATCCAATCAGGTGCGAAGACCAGAGGGGGGGGGGGGGTGTTAACGTATTAATATCAATTACTATTATTGGTTGTGTTACTACCAACGAAAAGTGACTGGTACTGGAATTGCAAGTGTTGTGGGTTTACTCTGCAATACTGGTGTGCTGCAGTAGTAACTAAGTAGCATGTTTTGTTTACCTGACAAATCTTATTAATTGGTTATCGTATGGTGGCAGGTTTAACGACACATTTATATTTACCCGATATAACCAAAAAACCTCTTATGGATATTTGGAGCGAAAGCCCTCGTGTTTTCAAATGGTTTACACGTTCATTAAGCGAATAATTATTGGACATCCTCAGCTTCTTACATTAATGACTTTGTGTCATATATCTCATAGCTTCCATCGTGACCGCGTATATTTTATTTACACAGTGACTGTATTTGTATGGGCTCAGAGGACCGGGGCGTTAGAAAATCAAGGAGAAACAATTATCTTGCCTTAGACACAGTGCTGATGGGGTAAATAACTTGGAGGGTGTGGGAGTGTAGCGTGTCTAGAAATAATCATGAGCGTCGCTGTGGAGATTACAAGTAACACAATGTATATGCAGATAATTCACCTCCTTCGAGAAGCTGTCCCTGCACATTAAAAAAAAAATTGCCGATGAAACACTGTCAAAACCGGTCCCGAGTTTGCTTGTGTTAAGCCGATGCTGCTGAAGTGATGTGCTCCCCAGCAGGTCAATTATAGACACGGGGAGGGCGCGCATTGCCCACTTCGTTATGTCTTACAACATGAGGTCTTCATGGTTCACGGCATTGGTTCAACACAAGCATAGTCTCCACCGGTTACGACATTCGGTGTCTTATCAGCAGGGTCAGGATTGCTTGCACCGATGTATGTATGTATGTGAACTTCTTTCGCACTGTACGTAGACAACCGTGCTAATTTGAGGTGCGGGGAAGGACAACTAAACACAAAAAGCAGTTCTATAGAAATGCGCTTTCAATCTAGTTGATTCAAAAGTGTATAGCTACAGTGGCTTCTAATATCGGAAGAGCGTCCCAGACAGCCGCAGAAGCGCATCTGAAAGCGCGCGATGCGGTGACCGTCTGTGATGGGACTGCTTGATGAACTGTCAGGCTATTCTAGGCGGGGCCATCTTTGTTAGATGTGGGTCCTAGTTCCGGTTCAAAACGCAATAATGCACAACACATTAATAAGCGTCGTTGTAGAGAATGTCAGCTACAAAATAAATAATGAGACCATGCTGTAGTAGCGATGGGAAGGGGCAGGGTGAGTGTTTGAATGCCGTCACACTCGAGTTACTGCTTCTTAATTGCGAGCGGCTGCACCTCGTGGCAGCCTCGACCCAGTGCCCCCGGGCACGCGCTGATTGAGCCGCCGCCTCGCGTGGGGAGATCGCTTTCGGGGGCTGACGTCGAGTAGTGAATGGTGGTGGTGGTTGTGAACGGCCGTAAAACAGTGGGATTGGTGGATCATGCTGGCATGATGGTGATTACGGTGACAGCAATGATGGTGGTGGAAATATGTGTGGTCGTGGTGTTGCCGAAATTGACAATGAAGATGGTGATAAAAATAGTGGCCGTAATAAATTCGCATCAAAACGGTGGTGTAAACAATGGTGATGATAGCGATAGTGGTGATTATGATGGCGTTCATGATTGAGGTGGTAGTCGTGATGGTGATGATTATGATGGTGGCCGTGGTGACAATAACGGGGATGATAGTAATGATTGTGATGGTTGAGATGGTGATAATTGCACTGGTCAACACACTTTTTCTGGCATAAGGTATTCCAACGGTTTAAATGTAATTTTGGGGTGCTGATTCCAAATCTGGCATCAGTTTTTGTCTATCACATCAGGTTTTTGAGATATCAAATATTTCATTTTCAATTAAAACTGCAGAAGAAAAATATTAAATAAATGTGGATATCTACATAAAATGATATTATAAACACACTATCCTAAAAATACAGCACCATATTTTAACACTAAAGCAGTCACTGACTCGCAACAACTTGCAATCATAACTGACAGAGTTAATTTCGGGTAAAATCAATTAAAATGGGGTATGCCGATAGCATAAAATGAGATGTGATAGAGCAAATCTGAGATCAGATTTGGAATTAGCACCCTGAAATTAGTCTAAAACAGCTGCAAAAGTCCAGGCCAGAAAAAACGTTTTTTTTGTTGACCAGTGTTATCAGAATATGGCAGATGATGAGGCAGTACACAAAGTAGGTTCTCTACAGTTGAGAATTCTCCCACATGCAAAATAACTTTCAAATAATATTAAACGCCGATCGAGCAGAATCCCTAGACTCCGCGATGCTTTCTCCTTGGTAAATTTTTCCAAATATATATATTTAAATAATTCTATATCGACAATTGTAAAAATAAATTCCCATGGCAGGAGCAGTCTCCCTATGCAACAATTATCGTGTTGACTTACAATATAGTACTCTATAAACTCCCAAAGAGTTATGATGGGCTGAGTTCAGTGCACAGGTATCTGTCTCCTTACTAACACAGCGGTCCTCTTGCTCTCAAAGTCTAGCCCCTTGCGATGACGTCGACACCCTCCACTGACTCAGGGCCAGAAATAGAGACAAGCACAGGCTTCATTGCTCATATAGGCAGAGACACCTCCTGCTGTGACGTCGCCACAGTTGTTGCCGACAGCAAATGAGGTTGGCAAGGTTGTTGCCGACAGCAATGAGGTAACCACAGTTGCTGATAGCAACAGCCGCCGTTCACACAAAGTGGCGGTGGCGTCGCCACGACGCTTGTGGCATGCTCGGTGCACTTTGGGGCGGCTGACACACACCCCCACGTGTAACGCGTATCCAAGCACAACAGGAGAATGGATAGCCAGCTGCCACAGTGGTGCAATGGGCAGCACACTTGATTTGTAACTGAAATCGCGCCGGTTCGATTCCATCTCCAGGCGTGGCAGCTGAAGCAATCAACAGTATAAAGAGTTATGTCATGCGTGGCGGGGTAGAGTGTGAGCATGCCTTGCTCTTCCAAGACGGCTGATCAGCATGGAAGAGTAGACCAAAACACCACTGTCGAGTTCCCTCTCGTAGTCGAGGCATTTCCGTCAGCAATGGCAAGGCTGTGCCTGTACTGAGAAACTGAAGGCACTCCGTGCATCCATTACAAACATCCCACTGGGAACGGTTACCGGTTTACAACGGTTCTCGTTGAACAACCCTGCTATGTGCAAAAGCACCGATTATCGAGGAGCTCTATCGCCCTTGGCTGTGTTACTTTGTAAGCGCGACGGAATCTCGTCTTCAATCTGCCCCTCCTGCATCACTCTCGAGTCATTGTCCTCGTGATTATGGCTACCGTGGTTTCCGTGAGGCGCGATCCATAGGCGTGTGCCTGACTCGAGTTTCGAGGCGCAAGTCTTGAACAGTTTGGAGAAGTCTACGATCATCATCTATCACTCGACATTCCTACAGATCGTGCCTGCCAATCCGCACTAATTTTGACAAGCTACCATCGATTGGTAGCCACTGTAATCTGCGAGCTCAGATATCTGGCTTTCTAACTGATTGGCCGAGATATGCGGGAGTTCATGGCAGCTATCTAATACCTTCACCATGAACTATTAGCAGCACACATTCTGCCGAAGTTGGAATCCTGTTACCGTTGTCATATCTTGGGGTCAATCACCAAATGTATACCTCGCTGCAGGTGGCAGAACTTAAGAGTACAGCAGGAGTCAGGATTATGTATGACCCAGCACTTATTGATTCGCTCCAGTCACTCACTGATTCAGAGGTGGTAAATCACCTCCTCCGCTATCACTACTACCGTGGTTACCGTCTCCGTAAACGTCATTCATTGACTCCTCAATTTTGAGGACTCGGCCTACCAGACTAATCGTCTCATCCGCACTGTATTCATCCACCTCCACACTGCGGGTCACAACAACACACTCATCACACTGCAGGTCACAACAATACTCACCCAATCACTCACGCACTGGCTCACCCATTCACCACACTGCAGGTCACACCAACACACTCATCCACCCACTCATCACAATGCAGGTCACAACACGCACCCACTCACTACACAGCAGCTCACCCACTCACCACACTGCAGGTCACAATAACACACTCACCTAATCATTCACCACACTGAAGGTCACAACAACACAATCACCCACTCACTCACTCGATCACTCACCACACCGTAGGTCACAGCAACACACTCACTCACGCAATCACCCAATTCATCACCCACTCATCAAATTGCAGGTCACCTCACTTCATATTCTACTTCTGCCCACACACTGCTCCACTGTGGAATATTCCCCGAGCTTTTATAATAACGAGCCTCTTATATAATCACTCATAGCTAACCTTGCTCAATTCAAGAATCGTGCCACACTATCATATATTACGTTGATAGTGCTGTTGCTGGCCACGTGACGTTTTGGTCCTGTGTTTAACAACTGTATTCACATTATATACACGGACATAAACATATATATACACACAGCGTTTGGTTTTGCTTAGCCGATGTGTGTCAAAATTATGAACTGTGCTTCATTAGCTTGGAGAGTGTTGTCTTTGGTTCCAGTAAATATAAGTACATACGTCGATGCGTTTGTGTCCTATGTTTTTGCGTGTACGGGCTCTCTCCAGTTGTGTAACTAACTACGTAGGATTTCCAATAGAGCAGTGGTTCTTAACTTGGGGTGCACGCACCTAACTGGGGATGCGAGATGCCCTTTCTGGGCGTGCGAGACATGGACAGATTTTTTAGAAGGTAAATAATCGAAACACAAATTAAGCACGGTCACGTAAGTACCAACTACTTTGTGTCATAAAACCTATGTATGGCAGCTGAATGGATCATTGCTTCCAAAAACCACGAGAGATGTCGACGGATTTGGGAAAGCCTTCTTTAGGTAGTGGACAGCTCATGGCTGGTTATGATGCAACAACAGCTGCCATTCGCCAATGCGTGGAAATAACGTCACCACAGCGCTTGTGCCAAGCTAGGTGCACGTTGAAATCACGTAAAGTGTTGAAAGATCGCTTTCAGGTCACATGACTGACTGAGATCACTGTCCACCCTACTGTGCCAAGTTGCTGTTTTTAGCTGCCCATCACTCTTTTCATCATTCTGAGCCATGGCTCCTCTTCCCTCCGCTGTTGTTGGAGGGCGACTGTCTCCAACTACCCAGTAAGCGTCCTTCATGAGCCTCCTCCACAGAGGCCGATCTTGACACTCCTGGTACCAGTATTTGGCAAGCCCACTCAGCTCCACATCCTCAAGTACCACATCAGCCGGATCTTTTCTCTAGCACCTGCCACCGCGAATTTAGCCCTCTCCATCTGTCCAAACAGAAGCTGCTTGGACTTACAATGGCTGAACATAGGGCTACATGACCCAGCCAACGAAGCCTCGCCTGCCAGAGGAGGAGCTCAATGATAGGACTGAGTCCAGATCTTTCAAGGATATGTGAACTCATTACACAATCCATGCAGCCTGGTTAAACACAGGATGAATTGTAGGCAGGTCAACCTGAATGTTTCGACCTGACAAAGATGTTCCTTTAGACTCAGAGGGATTCATGTTCAAAAAACCTAGAGAATGGAGGACATAACTGTGGCTGAGAATAAACGTAGCTTCATGTAGAGCGACAAGCCAGGTAGCTTCCACACAGCGTAATACAGCGCAAGAAAAGATAAATGGTACTCAAATAATTCAGAGAACTCCACTGCCAAATCGGAGCTGGTCATAAGCACACTCTCTCCTCAACTGCCCCATCACTCACGAGGAGTGTTTGATGACATAAAATACCCAGGCAGGTTTAGTTTTGGTGGGGCTGATGATAAGGCCCCACCTCTTAGTGGCATGTTTCAAGTTTAGCAGCAGCGCCTCCAACTCCTTGTCAGAGTGAGCAGCAATCGCCAGATCATCAGCATACATAACAAATAAGGAACCATCGCTCGACCGCACTCAGTTCCCCATTGTATCTGTGGCAACCATGGAAAGTTTCTCAAATATGTGGTGAATAAGTATAACCCGTAAAAAAAAGTTTTTCACTATAAATCCTTTATATGCGTGGCAGCGAACTTAATATAAAGGATTTAATAAGTATAACCCGTAAAAACAAAGTTTTTCACTATAAATCCTTTATATGCGTGGCAGCGAACTTAATATAAAATGTAAAATTTTGGGATTTTTTTTTCACGAACATTAATTGTCTGGCACAACGAGTCTGTGTGCTAAATGTCAGCTCGATTGGATCACGGGAAGTGGGTTAAAAAACGACCGAAAGATTTGCACGGTCGTAAGCAAGCAAGCACGCAAGCGAACTTAATATAAAGGATTTAAAAATATATTCGCCTGTGGAGGACGCGGGGATCGATCCCACGACCTTTGGCATGGGAAGCGAGGGCGCTACCAACTGCGCTACTCCGCCAAGGCCTGTGGAGGGGTTACGCTCTGGGCTCTTATACTGTGACGTTCAGCCAAAGCCAAGAATGAGTTCTATTTGAATATATGTAAAATAATTTTTTTTTGCCTAAAAAGTGTAACATTTTGGGAATTTTTTTCACGAACATTAATTGTCTGGCACAACGAGTCTGTGTGGAAAATGTCAGCTCGATTGGATCACGGGAAGTGGGTTAAAAAACGACCGAAAGATTTGCACGGTCGTAAGCAAGCAAGCAAGCACGCAAGCACGCAAGCAAGCAAGCACGCAAGCAAGCAAGCATGCGAACTTAATCTAAAGGATTTAAAAAAGATGTGAAAGATTGTAAGAGCCAGAGGACACCCCTGTTGCACACATAGGTGAACAGGGAATGGTTCTGACTCCTATTCATGCAGCTTTACCCAGGCCTGACCACCGTCATGAAGGTACTTAATGACTGTGAGTGGAGGGTCAGGGACTCCGATAGCACGAAAAATAACCCAGATCCCTGGCCTATAAAGCAGATATGTAGTTACTGTTGAAATTCCCTACACCTCTGCTGTAGCAGGCGCTACAAGTTTTCCTAAGCGTGAATGGCAAGGTGATGTTGAATAATTAATCCTTGCCAGGACCTTTCCCGGCACACTGAGGAAAGTGATGCCCCAATAGTTGTTACAATCAGTGCGGTCCCCCTAGATAAACAAATAAGGATAACTGCCAGAGCATTTTTCCAAACCTGAAGGACCCGTCCCATGGTATAAACCGTTGCAATTTTAGAATATAGGGCAACCCACACAAAATTGCCTCAACAGTTATCTTGGGAGGTCGTCTCTGCCCAGTGCTTTATCTGATCTCAGGCTCCGTATCAACATCAAGCAGCCACTCCCAGAGGGTGGCTATTTCCTCCAATATTTGAGGTACGACAGCCCCATCAGGGTCCACCCTACCTTGCACGATGATAATGTCTCGGCTGAGGGAATTCCCCTCCACCGACACCTCACAGAAATGCTCAACAAAACCTGCAATCTTGCTCCTGAGGGTCGTACGTTGTATAATAACTCTTTCTAGGACAGGAATAAGTGTGGCGCATGCAAGCTACTCTTTTGATTAAATTAAAGAGTGGCTTGCGACCTCGAGCTGATACGCAATTTCCGTCTCCTCAGCAAAGAGGTGCCGTGGCGCACGGCACTCTGCATCTCTGCGCGAGGCCTGGAGGAAGCTTCCTCATTCTCTCACGTGGGATGTTGTAGATGGTTGAGTGCTTTTCAACCAGCCTGTCTGGGGAGGTCTGAACGTCATACCCAGTTGCAGGCACAGCAGTTGCATTAGCCACACTCCTAAACCTCACACATATCTGCTCAGTATCAGGAGGAGGCCGAGGGATGATGCCAACCCCAGCTGCAACGGATGATGAAATTCTCGCTTGCAACTTTCATCAGCTTGCCGAGACCAAGCTATCGTGGGTTTGAATGTGGTACTCTAGGTGGACACCCACCAATGTAGTGCAATATTGGTAGGGACATCTTACAGATGACAAGCCGATTGTCAGTAGGCTATCAGCTCCACGGTAGGTTCCGCTGTCAAGGACATGGGCCCGCATTCGCTGTTCTATCACTATATAATCCAGTAAATGTTCCCGCTTAAATCCGGCATGCATCCATTATGTCGTGTGGATGTGTCGATACTGGAGCAGCGTGTTCGTGATTACAAGCCCATGGTGCTCCACAGAAGCCTAATTAGCAGCCTGCTACAATGATCATTGAGTTGATCTTGTCCAACATGAGCATTCACACATTCACGCCTAATCACACATTTACAAACATACTTACACAATCACATATATACAGAGCATGCATAAAAATATTCCCAATTTATTTACTCATTATGAAATTAATAAGGTCAACATGTAATGCACCACTGACGTGTTGTATTCGCTCATTCTCGAAGAATAAGGGCGACTCAGGGTGTATTCATGTGAAATGGTTCGATAGAGGTGCACACACTGAACTTGGGAAGCAACATTATTTATTATTAACACAACGGGTAACTCTTAACATAGGGTGGTGACCACCGACCTATCCTCGCTAACACACACCATCACTCGCTAACAGTCGCTAACACTGACTCTCTGATACGAATAGCGTGGCCAAGCCAGGAGGCTACTGGTTGACCACGCTGACTTGAGGCTTGACTCTTCTTCTTTACGAGGTGTCTTCATGAGGCATCTTCATCCCGGACCCGAGCAGCCTTGAACCCGATACGAAGGCCGCTTATATGCACCTCGGCGTGTCCGGGCCACACCCCGGCCACGCCCACCTTCGAGAACTCTCGAGAAGGCTCTTCTTCTGTCCATGTGGCCCCCAAGGCCCCCCCTGGGCCCCCGGCCCCCACCTTGATCCGGTCACGTGTCCAGCCGGGTTCATCCAGAGTGCCACGGCCTCACACAACCCCCGCGGTACTGACCCACGGCCTCCAGACACCCCCGAACCGGCCGTGACATCATTCCCACATGCAGACGTGATGACGTCATATGTGTGTGGATCCACGTGGTAGTGACGCTCCCCTCAGGTAGTGACGTCACGCGCGCGTGTGTGTGTGTAGGCCCACACGGTAGTGACGCTACAAGTCACTACACATGTATGTTGAACTTCTTTCGCACCATACGTAGCTAACCACGCTAATCGGAATGCAATGAGCAGAAACCAGAGACGAGTGGGAAGGCAGTAATAGCCAGGGTACCATGGTGGCGAGATGTTAACTACTTTGCCCGGTATACAGGAGGTTGTCGGTTCGATCCCGATCCCGACCCAGATGCCTGTATATTTAGACTTTGTACGTTCTCCCCGTAGTTGCATGTATTTTTTTCCGGGTTCTCCAGTTTTCCCCCCACATTTAAGAACATGACTTCAGAGTATTTGATTGCTTTAAATATCCTCGTGATAAGTCACTTCATTGAGCTACCATTGTGGCCAGGTCGCTTCTGAAAAAGAGCTAAAAAGCTCAGTGGGCCTCGACGTTCTCTTTCTGACAGACCTGTTCTTCACCTGAGGACGGCTGCTTGCGTTGTGGCCGAAACGTCGTGAGAATTATTTTATTATGCTTTATTTTTATTATTTTATTATTTACATTCTACGTGACTTTACCGAAAGAAAAATATAATATGCT